TCAATTAATCCATATTTGACCTCCACTGGGCACATATTATTTTTCAAAAATTTTATTTTAATTTTTATGCCATATTACAGACGAGTCTTTTCCAAAAAAAGAAGTCTGAATTAGAGTAAAGTATTTGTCTGATGTTAGAAGGTTCAGTAAATATTTGTTGAGAACAAGTGAATTCACACCATGCTCCGTTGAGGCCGCAAGTGCTGCCTCTGCCCTTCCTGCCGCTCTCACTTTTTCCTGTTAGGTGTTTTTTCAAAACCAGTGAAATCCTTCTGAGCTGTGCTAACCAGGGGGCAAAGCCCAGAAGCACGTTGTGAATCAGGCGTCCAAGGCCCTCTCTGAGAAGATTTTAAACTGAGGTTGAAAATTTGCAGCATTTTCATGTGGGTAGTTGTATATTTCTTTTTGTTTTATCTAAAATGTTTGCAATTAAAGAGCTTTTTTGAAACTAGTAGAATACTTTTTAAAATGGGAAATCAAATGGCAGTGCCAATTTTGTATTCAATGATGCAAGGGAAAGGTGCTTTTCAACTTCAGGAGAAAGTCAAGTTGTGCTAGATGACCTCCATTTGGAAATCCTTAATGCTGATCCATTATGAATTTTTCCCCCATTTTGTCACTAAGTTAAAAATAGGCTCCAGAATTAAAGAAAAAAAAGTGATTGAATTCTGCAAAAGTTTCCCTCCACAATTACATTGTTCTTATTTTTATTCCTACTCTTTTTACAACCTAAGTGATTGATATATGTCTGTAAGTAACAAGAAACACTTGCAAAATATTTTATTTTCAATAAGAATGACTATTCCCCTTATGCAAGTTATAGGAGACAAAATGTACTGCACAGTTTGTGGTCAATTGTACGAAAATCTTTGTGTGTTTACTCCAAGTTTTTATGAATAGCACAAATTCACCTGTTTAAACATAGAGTTGATGGTAACTGGAAGCTCTGATGTTAATTCTGTGACATGTTAGCTTTTTTTGGCTCCTTATAAAAAGCTACCTGAAAGCTCACACATTAAATCCAGGTGCAATTCATTTTTATATATAGAACACTGGAAACCCTTGGTTATTCCTCACCGATATGAGCTCCTTAGATTTCTAATTATATTGTCTAAGAAAACTAAACAGCCAATGCTATTTGCATATTATATGAAGAAGTGTCATACAACAAACTCGTAGCAGTCAATTAACATAAAAGCTAATTATTTATCTCATCAGCTTACAAGAGTTTCTGAATTCATACTTCCTCTGTTGTAGCCTAAAGCATAGGAGCTTTGAATTTTCACTTCTAAATATTGACTTTTAACTAATATCAGCAGTGATTTCAATTTTTATGGATGAAAAGTTAGTGATTAAACTGGATGCAATATTTGCTACGATGCAATTAAAATTTTACATTAACTAAACCTCTAGAAAGAAAATCTTTGCAATAATGTGAAATTAATTATCAGTCTCTAAACAAGTTAAGTATTGGTTTCATAGCTGAGGGACACTCCAAAATAGTGGTAAAGATAGGTGAAGTTTATTGGAGACTGTCAGACTAATGGCAGAGACAGACACACCACGGCAAGGGTCTTCACGGGCAATTGTGTGCTGTAACGTAATTGTATTCCTGCCTGGTTGGGGTAGCTATCCAGCAAGAAATTTGCTACAAGATTAACAGAGACACAATAATGAACAAACACGGCATCGTCTTGTAATTGACTGTTATTAAAGTGCTGTCATAGATGTGTGTAACAAACTCTGCAGCCCCAGTTTTCTAGAGAAACCAAAGCCAGAACTTTTCACTACATTTTTCGATTTTAAGGTTGGAACACAGGTAGCCCACCCCATTGCTCACCCAGCAAGCGGTGATCCGAAGAAACCTGAAGGCAGAAAAATCAACACTACACATAAAAGTATGGTTTAGAGTTAGGGGTGGGTTTCAAAAATGAGAAAAGTGAGGATTTATTCTGATTGGGGTCCTCCAAGATAGTAATGAAATCATCACGATCATTTTAATATCTCTAACTTGTAGCAAACAAGTCTGTGTGTAAAAGCAACAGCAAATAAGAAAACTGCCGGAGAGTCAGTTTTCTCTCTTTCCATTCATATTTTAATGAGGTTAGTGTCTCTGAGTCGTCCTGGAGGGCGGAGGCAAGGCTCCTGGAAGATTTCAACAGGAGATGCTTCATTGACAAGCACTTTTCAACATCTTCACAGCGGAGAAAGACAGACTTAGTTTATTCCACTTGTCCTAATACTTACTGCAGTCTCAAAAATCAAAACACTCTGAGAGAAAAGGCTCAATTATTCTACGAAGGGTCTTTAAATTTCCTGAAGGCAGGTCAGCCAAGTGACATCATTTTAAATTCTAATCGTGTACATTTTAATGTATAAAGAACTGCAATGCATAAACATCTTTTTTAAACTGTTTTTTCAAAAATTTGATGCTTTGGGATTTTAAGGTCAAAACATTTTAAATCTTTCGTAAAATGAACTCTACTCATTCCATATTGGCTGTTCTCCCTATCCTGTGTTCAGTGGATGTCGTGGTTCTGAGCTATCTTTACTCTCAAAGAATGTTTACTGGGAGGCTAATTACATCAAAAAGCCAGTCAGCCTTCACAGACTTACACAGTTAGAGAAATCCACATGTTGATTCCTTAAAAATAACATATTTGTGTTAAAACAGGCACAACAGTACTATCTTCAAACATGTAAAATTATACTTTCAAAATCAGGGGGAAATAAACCATCCCTCATTAGGTGGAAAGTTGTAACATGGGGGACTGTTTTCAATTGGCCCTCAAAAAGTAAGCTGAGAAAGGCCTTCCAAAATCACAATTTCACTCAAAACTTTTGTGTCCAGCAAGTTTTGCAAACAGCTCATAATGTTTAGGGGATTTCTAAAGATACTTACTAGGATGGCCTCTAGGCAACATGAACTCCAAACTCCGTGGTGTGTTAGGACAGAGCCGGTGTTCCAGGAGGACTGCGCTGGTAAAAGCCTCTCCCAGCAGCAGATTCTGGCCTCCTGGCAGTTCTGCCTTCCCAGCCCCCATGTAGTAAAGTATGTTTACTTTTCAGATGGGGGAAGGCAGGGAGGCAGGGAGAGAGAATGGATTTCTTGATTATAGTTAGATTTTTTAAAGGAAAGAATCTACTCTTCACTTTCAAGAAAAACAGTGCTTTATTGGCATCCAGAAGCTACTAGGAACATCTTTTGTATGTGTCTCTTAAGGGTATAATACTTAAAGCACATGCATGGGGGGCCCCTAATCTTTCTGATAATGATCTGTGTCGATTAATTGTAAGGTAAGAATTTATCTCTGTATTTTATACTTTTTCCAGTGGTTAATGACACGTGTTTAATCCTAAATTTCTGTAAATTCATAAAACAGATTTTCTGTTTTGTTTGTTAATTTATGTCTTGTGTGTTACACGTGTTTTACAAGTAGCAATGCTTGAAAGCCCCGATCAAAGCATAAATAAAAGCAGCTCGTGTTTGGAGTGTGCAGTGTGAGCCGCTTACACGGTACAGTTTTTGACTGCAAACATTTTAAAAAATTAAGACACTGAGAGTCTTAAAAACTTGGTATTTTAGCAAGTAAATGTGGTGGTATATTCTAGTTGCATTAACAGTCTAACTGCAAATTTGAATGCGTGGGTTTTGAAAGCAGTTCCCAGCGAAACTCAGGTTGGGGGGACGAAGGAGGAAGGGTCTTTACCTGTGCACGTCATAGCGCAGTTGATGGAGAATCGCTGGCCGTATTCCATTTCCCTCTTTCCAAGTTTCTTTTTAAATGTTTTTACAAAGTTGATTCCTTATTGAAAGTGGGGGGACAACAGTGGGGATACTGGGTGGCGTATAATGGAACCTAGATTTAAAGAACACAGACGCACACCCACCACCCTGCGCTTTCATGTTAATTCTGCCGCTCCGGCTGATCAGATTTGTGGCCAGATGGCGGTGAAGCGCGGAGACCCTTTGTGCGCCCCGAGCGCCTGTGAATGTCGCGCGGTCGTTGGCACCGGAAGGGTTCATACTGCGTCTGAAAGGGGACAATGGAGGCTGGATATATCAACACTGCAGAAATCGAGTTCATTTGCGATTCAGCCCCTTTCACTATGGTTGTCAAGCAAACTTCCTACTTTGATCAGTAGAGGGTGGAGAGGGAAAAGGCCCGCAAAGGCCGCGGGCTGCCGCGCGGTCCGGGCGCCCTTGGCGGCTCCACGCCCCCTTCCGGAAGGAGCCGCGGGGACGCAGCATCCTGCACCTTGACCTGTCTAGACGGCCCAGAAGTTTTTGTCTTGGTTACCAAGGGCGAGGGGTGATCTTTGACCCGCGCCCCGGGCGGAGGTGGTGGCCAGAGGGTCCTGCTGCCTCCTCGCCGGATTCCGGAGGGAGAGGGGCGCGCGGGCGGTGCACCAGCTGTCCCGGGAGCGCAGCCCGCGCGGAGAGGGCTCCCTGCGCCCGCGCCCTCGCCCTCGCCCGGCCGCTGCCCGCCGGCCCTGGACACCAGCGGCGGCCCAGCGAGGCGACGGGCGGAAGGCAGGACTTCTGGCTTCTCCAACTTCTCACCCAAGTGAGGGGAGTTCTGAAACCGGACCTGAGCGCGCTCTCTCTCTTTCTCTTTGCCAAGTAGATGGATCATAGCCTTTCTCTGTGCTTCGTGCTTTACTCTGTACGTTCTATGACTCACAACTGATCATATGCGTATAGGTTTAGGTGTGTAGTTTCTAGTCTGAAGGTAAGTTTTTTTCCTATCCACTTTCATATCTATGTATTTTTAAAAACTAGAATTTGAGCCGACCCCTTACATTGTGTAAATATTAGGAAAGAAGCCCACGTTTGCAACCCCGGGACTGCATTTTAATGTATGTTTCCGTACTGCTCCCGGAAGGTCTCTGAAGTAACTCTGACATTAAGCGAGTCTCCTTACCGGAGTTTCTTCCAGATCCCCCTGGCACAGTCCGAGGCCTTCCTAACGGACCTCTTGGATAAAGTCTGTGAGCGAATGAATCACTACAAGCTTGAAGAAGACCCAGTGACCAAAGAGAGAACTTTCAAGAGATTTGCTCCAAGGAAAGGAGAAAAAATATACAAAGAATTTAAAAAATTCTATTTTTATTCTGATGCTTACAGACCTTTAAAATTTGCGGTAAGCATAGACACGCGTTTCCGGGTTCTCTTTTTGCTGTTTGCTACTCTTTTTGTCTTTGAGTTTCAAGACACTAAATGCACCTGTTTACTTTGCCTTGCTGCTTTGTTAAGTGTTAACCATGCTGTTAGTGCCTTGCCTTTTGAGACCCTGAAGGGGTTGTGATATTTTATGGTGATCAATGGAGACATTTAAGTGATCTTTTACAGGAACCACTGTTCACAAACGCCAGCGACTTGAAAACACAGTTGCACAATCCTTTGCTCAAAGTATTTTGCTCATGTGGAGACTTGGGAATGGTCTCTGTTGGGGATGTTGCCAAGGAAGGTCTTTCATGGAGTCCCACATAAGGAATCGGGGGCTGTAGTTTCTGGTTTAAAATCCAAGTTAAAACGAATGTCATTTTCGAATATTTATAACCAAATAATACAGGGGGTGGCACAATCATCTCTTTTTTACCTAAGGCTTCACAGAGCAGAGAGACTTTCTTCCTGAGTTAATTCAAGTATTCTAGCACAAACTAAGTTAAACAAAGGCTTAGGTATGATAGTTGGCTTAATGCCAAATTTCCTTCCAGTAGAATGTTTATTTTCCATGAATGTGGGCCTGTGGCTTGCTAGAATGTGCTGGCAAAACATACTGCAATATATTTCATTTTACTCAACACTGTTGAATCAGACAAAGTGATGGGCAGACCTGTTTTAAAAATGTATTAAGTTCACACACCGCCCAAAATGTCAGGCATGCTGAAACCTTGAAATAGGGGCTTTAGCTGACTTTTGAAGATTTCATTTTAATTAAAAAGTAAGGACAATAAATCAGGGTTAAAAGTACCATTGAATAGGAATAGCAATGAGCAAACGTTTTTGTGTCTCACAGGTTTTAAATAAACATGTTAAAGTTGAATTTAAATATTTTAAAATGTTGTCCAAATTTTTCGAGTCTTGCTTAATGAACTCAAAATGATTTACAAGTCTCTAGTAAGTGCCTTTCAGCAACTTCACAATGCCTAAAAGTGTGATCTGGTAGTTCTTTAACAAAGAAATTTACTCCAGTTAGAATTTAAGATTTTCAAAGGCAAGAGCAAATTTGAGCTCCCTCTTCTCTGAAATGTCACATTTTGGGGGGAAAGTGAAGTGAAATTTCGGATGAGGAACTCCCCTAAGTAACTGTCAAGCATGTCCTCCACAGAGAAATTGAAGACGCATTTGTTTTGATTGCTGAGAAGACTTAATTGTTTTCACACTTTCAAGCCACAAAATGGATTATTATGTTAAACCTGAAGGAAACTGGCTTAACCATTTCAAGGATCTCTAAAATACTTTTTTTTTTTATTTAATTAAAAAGAATTCAGACGTTCAGCCCCCCTCATAGCAGGCCCATTTCTTCCTGGGGTTTGCATTCTAGTTTAAGGAGGAGAAACAAACAGAAAGGGCCGGTTTCTTCCCCAGCCTCCGGCAGCCTTCAGAACACCTAATCATTTAGTTTAGTCCCAGGAAAATGATGCATTTAACATTCAAGGAAGAGGTTGAATGCCATGCAGTGATGTAGTAAACCAAAAGGGCCAAGAAAAATGGACCACCTTAACTACATGGTTTCAAATTTTTAGCTAATAAAATGTTGCTAAGTCCTTCCTAACAAGGTGCCCCTCCACTGTGCCTCTGTACACATGTGTTGTTATTGTGTCTCTACAGTGTGAAACTATAATAGAAGAGTATGAAGATGAAATCCTCTCCCTTATCACCCGGGAGGCACGCCATCTCACTGACAGGCTGTGCAGCGAGAAATCAGGTACTGTGTCTGATGTAGCACGGCCCGTCGCCTCGCTTGCTGGCTCGCTCTCCCCCACCGCAGTCCTGTCCCAGTCCGCAGCCCGCAGCCCGCAGCCCTGACACAGGCGCTGCCGCCTCCACTGCAGCAGAAATGCCACTGTGTGAGCCACGAGGCAGTGTGGCTTCCCTTTCTTTCTTCTATGTTTGAAACAAATTCAGGCATTCTCAGTTTCCGGTTGTAGTGGACCCTGTTCTCATTCAGGATCAGATGGATGCAGAGCCCCAGCTTTTTAGAAACTTTTAGGGATGGGATTTTCTATTCTGATCCAGGAGAGGAGAATCTCATTTTATGACTTTAAAGTATTCACTACACCAGCAGAAGGTGGGATTTTAATATTGTAAGAAAGTTTTGAAGTGTTTTTGTCTGGTTGGGGGAGGGGTGCTGGGTAATAGCTTTCATGTTCCTTTCCTATATCTATTTCATAATTTTTTTTTTTTGGCTTACAGTGTAGAAAGTAATACTTGGCTCATATTCTGAAATGCGTACCTACACTCAGAAGCTAGAAAAATGAGCCAAACTTTATTTACTATACGTGAAGTTGAAAGATGTCATCACCGGCCCTTCTGTCTGCTGGGCCAAACATAGGTCTTTAGTTACATCATTTAAAAACTAGTTTAATACCTTTATGAGAATGTAGGAGAAATTGTACATTCTTTTAAAGTATCTTTGGGAAAAAAAATAGACATGTAAAGACAGTGAGTTAGAGCCAATGGAATACTTTCAGGCAATGGGGTCGTGTAGCAGTCAGTAGTTAGGGGTTGTTTACAATAAAATATAAGATCCTTATAGCCATGTATCAAATTTAGTGCCAAAGCCCTTAGAATAATGGTTGTTAAAAGTTATTTTAAAAGGACATAAATTCCACATTTAGCAGAACAGGTAAATTTGGGTTGGTTTCTTTTTAAAATGTAGTTTTCATGGAGCTTTTGAAAGAGTACAGTGACATGATGGAGTCAGGTTTTTTCAGGAGTTTCCAATTTTTTTTTCTTTGATGTCAGGTATATATGTAGGAATTTGTGATGTTCATAGCCACAACTTCCCAAAAATATTTTTGAAGCCTTTCAAAAATTTCGGAGATGTGTATATGCATTAAGATACAATCAAAAACATGATGAACGATATTTGACATATTTATTTTCTTATTTTTTTCCTTATAAAGAATTTGGATGTGACATCACCATCTATGACAAAATGCAAATCATTTGCTCTGTGAACACCCAAATGTTCCAAAAGGACTTGAGTTTCACCAACTGTTATGGCAGCAGTTGCCCCAAATAATAAGACTCTAGGAAAGACTCTGTTTCCAAGTTCAGCAATATGACTTAATTTCAGGGATATTAACTGTCTATCTTGGTTCCTTCTGTATCATTAGAATGAAATTAACGTTAACTTTGAGAAAGTGCATTGCCAGTATAAGATAAAGCATAGTTAGACAATTGGCATTTGATCTTTTAAAAACGGATTAGGTACTTAACCACTTTGAACAGAACTACTGTGAGTAAAGGGAACCACTCGGCCCCATAGCAAGGTGGGCAAGTCCTTTCAGGTATGTTTCCTCATGAAACATATTTATGGATGTTCTAACCATTCACAAGTTAAAAACTGAGAATAAATCAGTTCTAAAAAGAGATTAGCCTCCCCCCACCCAGCAAAAACAACTACTGTTGAAATGAGTTAACAGCATAGCAACAATAGAGTTTTTTCAGATTTAAAAAGTTTTGCAAGAAAAAGCTAAAGCAACACATTCATGATAAAAACTCAGGTGTACCACATAGCAACAAAGAACTGTATTTTAGCATCCTGGGATGGTTGGAGACAAGCATGTGAAAGGTGACACTTTTGCCACATAGAAAAACTCCAGATGCATTCAAACACAATCCAAAATACAAGTAGTGCACTTCCTAACAGAGTGTGACACTCACACTCTGTCTGTAAGGGCAGGACTTCACCTTGTTCCATCAAACCACATATACCACAGCTCTGCTGTGACAAGCTTTCCACAGAGTAAGTGTTGTAAAGATGTGACCGTGCCTGTGTGTGCACACGGAAGGCTGTAACACTGTACATTACAAGATAAACTCTTACTGAGCGTATATTGTATGCAAGACACTATACTGAGCTATCAAGATATTCACATATTGCTTTTAGGAAGATAAATAATTACTTAGAAAATAGATATTTGTAAAACTAGAGATTTTGTTGGAAGTTTAGTTCCTTCCTGTACTTTGAAGGTGAAATGTTGCCTTTTTACTACTTAATGCCAATCATTTCACTTATTTGTGATAATTTATTACTATTACACTAAACAAGTAAGGGCACATTTACAGAATCTTCAAAATATTAAGGCCCTAACATCCACCCATACACAAAAACAAATGGAGGGAAATAGAGAAAGCATATGTCAAATTTCAGATAACTGTGTTTGGATTGAAAAATAACATCGGTGAGATTTTCATAAACATGTGTCATATTTTTGATAAGTAGAAGAAAGATCCCAATGAGTGGTTATAGGTTTGCAGGTGACTCTGTGGGTGCCATTATGATTTTATACACTAGATAGAATAAAAATGATCAAATACACTCTGTCCTTCAAGTATGAGAGTAATGGGAGGTTATTCTTCATGTAATCTCTTTTCCTAGGTAAAAAACTAAAAATAAGTTCATTAGATTTTTTGGTGGAGTATCTCGTAGCATATAACCCAGGCTTCTCCTAATTGGGACTTTGATGTCTTGAAGTGAAAATAGTTAGAATCTTAATATGATGTAGGGTCATGATTGAAGGTAAGCTGCGTTCCACGCAGGGTACGGACATGTCACTGCAGATGGTGAATGAATGGATACTCTGATGTTTGTGGAGGTATTTGATAAATACACTGTGTGACGGTATAAAATACAAATACAGAAATATATTCTGTGTATATCGATTATGCTTTGATTTCAAATCTTAACATTTAAAAACATCATGATGGACGAATTTGCCAACGTAACCGTTTTGAATGCAATATGTGAACACGATATCAAGTATCTAGAAATGTTTAGCCACATTTAAAATGTAAAAGCATGTGTGCCTTTTTGTATAGCTCTCTCAACACTTACGGGGGTGTTAAATTCTGATATGATTATACCAAAAACTCGCCTATTTTAGGTAAATCATTTAACTAAATAATCCATAGCCTTTTTCAATAGTGTTTCCACTAATTACTTCCAGTTGGAAAAGTGGTGTGTGTCTGAGTATCTAGCTTCCTATCTGGTCATTGGCTTCAAGGCCAAGTGTGCTGTACCCTTACAAGCTGCAAAGTGTCTCCAAGCAGATCTTAAAATACTCCCAGAGCTGTGGGTGAAATGATGCTATACCTTGACCTTGCTTTAAAAAAGATTGAAAGATGAGACAAGAGCTGCAGGGCCTGGTCACTATGGAAGCTGGCTGTGGGGTGCAGCTGTACCCTTCTTTCTGCTTTTGTCTATATTTGAAAATCTCCTAGTAAAAGTTCCAAAAATATGCTCCCATCAGAATGTACTTTTTGCATAGTGTAAATGACTCAACGGGCTGGTACTTAATGTGATAGTGACGCTATTTAATTTTTTTTTCCAGATCTGTGTGAAACTTCTCCGAATCATACTGAACTCTAGGAATGACGTGCTACTAGTTGTAAGAGAAGAGTCCCGTCCCCAGGTCAATGCCGTCCCCAGGTCAATGCCGTCCCCAGGTCAATGCCCGCGTTTTATGTTGGTGTGTCGTCTTTCCTGATTAGAAATTCTGTCTCTTGTTTATACTACATTTGTCTCATGTGATTTTTTTTTGAAAATCTGTTGCTTGGCATCATGACAAACCCTGGCCCTTTCTATAGGTGAAACCAAGGAGTATGTAAAACTTAAATTAGCTTTGCAGATTTTGATAAAAAAAACAGCCTTGGCAATAAAGCATTTTATTCAGGATTGGGGAGGGGAAGTGAAGTCATTTCATAAACAAAATAGGGCTTTCCTAAAGTGCAGTGAATATTTTGTAGCCAAGGTGAATGCACACAGGAAGACCTGCAGACACCATTTGATAAGAACTTGATTGCATGTCTCAAATACTTCACTGGCCACAAAGCTGAGAAAATAATTGGCAACAAATTCCAAATTTGGTCTTCTGAGTTAGATACGGCTTAATGATATGGTTAGATATGGTTAAAGAAACAAGCCCATTTTTTTAAAAAAATCAGGAATGAAATCTAAATTTCTAGAAACCATAAGTTAAAAAACTTTTCATCTCTAAAATTTAGTGGAATTCATAAAAAAACACCAATATTTTATAGTGAACAGTAATCATATTGGTCTCTCCTGAGCATGAACTCTGAGCCCAGGTGATTTAGAAAGGTAATTTATTATTACATCCCGTGTTGACAGAGGACACTAGGGCTTTGCTTTATTTTACTTTGAACTCTCTTGGTTTTTGTTGTTTTTTTGGTAAAGATTTTTGGCTAACATTTAATGTGTAGATTTTACTACTAAATAGTCTATCATTCTTCTACAGGGACATTTTTGGGAGGTGTGGAGATGGAAGAGGGGGTGGAACCTGGGGGAAATTACTTTTTTGACCACACTTAATGCAATACATACTATAGTAATAATCACTCTTGAATATTTTGTTATCTTTGATAAATTTGCATTCAGTGGAGTTGGACCTAATTATTTAAAATGTCAGGTGATAGTCTGTGCCTGTTTTTAAGAAGAAATTCTCCTTTGTGTCAGTGAGAACTGAGAGGGTTGGGTGATGCAAATTCTTGCTCTAAAGCAAGAATTGGTCCTGTGGTCATGCAGTTGCCTAGAAAGCACCCTGTTCCCAGAAAAGGCTCAGCTGACTCCCACAGGAAACAGCTTGTAAATTTAGGAAAATTTACCAAAATTAAGGGGAAGAGATTTCCACACCCCCTACCTCTTATTAAAAGTCAGGTTTTAAGGTAACGTCACTTAGTTATCTGGGAAACTGAGAAAATGTGTGTGTATTTGGTATATTTGCAACTGCTTAAGTTTTCTAGACCCTAAAAAACACACCAAGCTTGCACACTAGCTGCTATGCAGGGAACGTAGGATTTAAGGATAATTAGCTAGAGTTTCCAGTAGGGTAGTAAAATTATTATTTAAAACATAGTCTGTGTATCTTTGTTTAAATGTATCCATCCAAGGTTAATTTGGCATTTGAAATAGTATGTCATAACATTTTCCTAACTTGGGCTTTCTCAGTGAATGTCCTAACAGGGAACATTATTTCTTAACATGGTAGAGACCTTTAGGAGAACAGGATGGGAATTGTGCACTAAGTAAGCTTCTGTGATGAGTGTGAGAGTTGTAACTGTGGAACTGTCACTGCATGGCCTTCACATTCTCACTAGCAATCATTAAAATTCTCAAATGTAGACAACACTATTGAGAATCATGGAGGTTAAGACAACGTGGCTCCCATGTGCAGCCTGAACAGGCACGAGAGGCGACCTCCTCCCCACCTGGATGCTTTTCCTTAATGTGGGTGTTTTGCTTTGAATGGAGAGAACCAGGCAACTCTAAGGTTTTGCTAAATATGGCTTTCAGGGCAGTTTTTTTTATTTCTCAGTAAAAAATGGTCTTATGTCTTACAAGATTTTTCATGACTTCTATATTTTTTTCTTGCCAGATTTTTTTCCAGTTCAAACTTGCTAAGCTCATTTCAATATTTGTCATTTACTAGGTTACCGATTAAAATCACATTTGAGTAATAATAGACAAACCACTGACTTTCCTAAGTCTGCAGTGATTCACAGGTTTCCCTCTGGCTCATTGTCATGTCACCCTGCTTTGCCAAAAAAGAGTAATGAACTAGAGGAGCTTCTGATTTGGCCTCTTTCCTTATCACATTCCTGCCTTTCAGATGAGGTTTGTTGACCCCCCAAATAACAACAGAAGCCAGGAAAAGACCTCAAAATTCAAAAACAAAAGAAACAGAGTATCCCTAGGGTATGAGAGAAAACTCTTAGAATTGATAAAAAGCTACCTAATTCTAGATCCAAGAAAAATTCCTGAAGAAATGTGGGGTGGAAGCATAACAAGTATTAAAATAATAAGGAGAAAAGAAAGGTTCGAGGCTGGATGGTTCCAAACTGTAGGTTTATGAGATGGTTTGTCTGGGTCTCCAGGAAGACTTGTGTGAACCTGTTCTCCATAAAGACAAGACCAAATTGGCAGAGATGCAGTGCATTTTTTTTGTTTTGTGGGTTACTGTTTGCTAGAATAAGCCAAGACCAATGGCTCCATTTCACTAAGGACTGGAAAGTGGAATTGAGCCAAAGTCTCCTAAGGGAAAGATCAATGCTTTATTTACAAAGTCTTAAAACATAGTCAGCAGCTGGTTAGAGTTTTATTATCTGTTTCTCAGTTTAGGTTGATGTTTATTCATATATGTATGTAATAACTTTAAATAAAAAATTTAAACTACATATTAATCTCAAAAATTCAGATTGTAATGGGATCTGAGAAAAAGCCATTTTTGTGATTTTTGTGATTTTTGTGGTCTGTGTTAAAATTTGATACAAATTTGTGAGCTAATCCTAATCGTGTTGAGGCCCACTCGGTAGGACATGGCATAGTTTGATACCAAGATATAAATAACAGTGATACTAAATCATCACAATAAAAACGGACCTATTAGATCCAAGTGCTAAGATTACCTACCTGTAATTTAATTCCCCTTTGTCAGTTTCTTAAATTCCTCAGATTATTTGCTTTTATAGCAAGAAACTGATTCAAAGTGAATAAAATGTTCAAAAGCAATAAATGAAATTGAAATGTGGCCGTGGTGAAAATTCATTGCCCTGATGTGACTGAGGAATGATGCGATAAATGACCTTGTTCTCTTTTGGAGTTTAACTCTTTGCCCCTCTCCCTAAACGTGCACCTGCTGAGGAGAAAGGGCCCATTCTTCACGATCTGCTGGGAGCGGCAGAGATGTGGTGATATTTGACATCACATTGGCTCATCTGCCTGCGCAGGCACCTCGGAGAAGTGAGGCCTCGCGTCAGAAGGAGAGTTAGTGGAAGAGGATTCTCGTGTGTCCCATGAGCTTCTGTCCTTCTGAGTTCTCTGGCAAAGTTTCTCAGCAGGTGGATGGATGTCTGCAGAGAGACAGAGGTGTAGATGCGCACACACACACACTCATGGCAAGCGTGGACTCAGGAGAGTCGGCCAGAGCTTTGAATGCTCCAAGGCGGAGGTCTCAGAGAACAAGTACCTGGACATTTTTTTAATTCCTTAAAGAAAATAAACCATTCCTATGCTCTATCTCTTGGAGAATTATCTCAACATTTTCATGAAAAAGAAAATGTGCTCTAAATTACAATGAACACTAAAAATATTCTACCTCGTAACAGTAAGACATTTGCAAAACAGAATCTTCTAGAAGTTACTGGAAACAAAAATGCTATGAGGTTACGCTGCGCTGGAAATATATTAGAATCTTATCATATGTGTCATTATTGTGGAACATGGATTCCTAGAAACCGTGGATCAAATTGTATCCCCCCCCCAAAAAAAAACATAATAGCACTGAGTAAAAAGCCCAATGCAGTGAAGCCAGCAATCGGACAGAGAGCTCGTTCCCACAAAGCCCCAGAGTAGGTGTCCTTGTGGAGTCACAGAAGCAGCGGTCTGCAGTACTGCTCCAAGCAGACATAACCTTCCTGAGAGCTGGTAGGAGTCCAGGAACTTTCTCTTCCTCTCAGGAATGTTAATGCACCAATATCTAAGGAGTACAGGTTACATAACAGGGCACAAATGCCTCATGTCAGCTACCGAAGTATGGCTGGGACTCAAGAAGTGCCTGTAAGCGACACGTTAAAATATTAATACCAACTTCAAACTTTGTGAATAGCAGGGTTGGCACCTGAAGAGTCCAGATGTGCTCCTGACATCTCATATTAAGGTTTGCCTCAGCAGCTTTCTGAACAAGTGGGAATTTCTCTACAGCACATCCTCTGATATCGGCCCATACAGGGTGACTGTAATCCTGGAGGTGACACTGTGTCAGCAGAAAGAGAAGATTTCAATCAGGCCATTCTCATTGTCTGATGGAAGGGATCTTTATGACTCTGTTGTTCATCAGAGGGCACCAATGAAGCGCCTTGTGTCATATGGTTCGTAGGCGACAGTGGAGGGCAAAATACAGGCTGTGAAAAATGGACCCTACTTAAAGCAATGTGCTTTTAAAACAGAGAGAAATCTAATGCAAGTGTTGGTTCAGTAAGTGTTATTGAATTATTAGACATTTAAGTAAAAATACACCCCTGTACTGCCTTTACATGCAATTAAAGCTTTGATTAAATATTAATGCCCTAAGATTAAAGAGCCACCAGCGTGTGTGTTTTGAAGCAGTACCCCCCAAAGATGAATAGGAGGTGCTGCAAACTAGCCCCATCGTGTGTATTTTGCAGGTGCTAACACCTGGGCCAGATAGGAGCATGGAGGCCCACTGGCCAGCCTGGCTACTTCCCGGGATCTGGGCCAGCCATGCCTGGGCAGAGCTCGGATGCCCTGGGAAACTCCCCGGCTCCTGTGAGTGCCCGGTAAGCCCTAAAGCAAGGTCCTTCTGTAGAAATCGAGGAGCAGGTTGGAAGGGGGGG